AGTGGTTTGAATTCATTTGAGCTTACTTTGGTCTTTTTTGTAATGCTTACATACTCAGAATCACAGAGTGTTTTAGATTGGAAGGGGCCTCCTTGCCATCAGGTTTATCATACAGCCACTAAAAAGAAAGAGTGCCTTATACTGTCATAGATGTATTTAAAATGTTTGTCTGAACACGAGAATGTGCTACAATCTGAAGAGAACTCTTTGTGCATGTCTCCAGCTGTCTGCAATCTCAATGGCCCAACATTTGGGCATTGAGGAATTAAAGGTCCCAAAAGACCACTGCCTGAGAGGGAGCATCTGCTCCTGAGGTCTTCAGAACCTTTAGTCAGAAATGAAGTCAAGCACAAGCCAACGGGGCAGAATGCATAGCAGTAGTTATGTCAAATGCAGCCATATCTGGATTAGCCATTGTGTTGCATCTGCCTCACTAACAGGAGGCTTAATGCACATCCAACCCACTGTAGTTCTGAGAGTTTAAAAATTCTGCATGAGACCAGTCCTAATTGTGGTCTAATTATTTCTCATTTTGCCAGAGTAATTCTTAAATGACAAGTTCTCTAATAGTGATGATGGTTTATCAGAAATGTATGTTTCTAAGCTATTGTGATGAATAGGAGTTAGTTCATCTGTTTTGTGTTTTGATCAGTATAGTACCTTTTGGCATGACACTGCAGACAGTGTGCAATGATGTGTACATACATGAAAGATTTTCTGTAGTCTGAAGCATATTTGTGAAGTTGTATTTAAAGATTAGCTTGTTAATGGTGTGTTTCAGGGACATGTAGGTAATTACTTTTACAGCTATAGATGAGTGATGCTGTCTTTTGAATGCAAAATAAGTTTCTTCATTCTAGCTGAGTCAGCTCTTTATTATATTAACCACTGACTTAGATGCATGCCAGTGATGGGCAGGTTTTCCGTTTGCTGTTCCTCTGTAAAAGCACAGTGCTCCCATGAAGATTTCTGCAGGCCAGCTGATAAGACTTGCTCCTGTGTAGGTAGATGCAATGTAATGAAATTGGATGTGTGTGTTGAGCTTTGTAAATAAAATGAGATTGACTCCAGCCATTATCTCATTTATCTCATTTACATTGTAAAATCAGCATCTACAGTATTGATTAGAGGATAATTAGTTAATTATGAACAGGAAAACAGAGTTATGTCAGGCTTGAGCACAGCCAGCTGTACTGCCTAAAATAATAAAAATATCCAAGGACATGAACAGATGGAGATCACTTTATTAAAGAACAAAGCAGACATATTTCAGGTAAAGAAATGCATAATCAGGCTTTCTTGCTGTGAAGATGTAGCTGACCTGCATTTTGTATTTTATAAGAGAAAAATATTTTCCTTTATTATTATTTAATTTGCTAACTTAATGCACCAGAATCCACCTTTCTTCTTCAGACTCCATTTGCTTGTCATGTAGTGGGCATATATCTATCCCAATTAATTGCTGGAATGAGGAACACAACAATTTCTAATTTTGATGCATGAAGTGATTTCAGGGTTGTTAAAACATTGATAGTAAGCAATTATCTGTCAGTTAAAGATAATTCAGAAGGTTAGTTTAGCTTGTATTTGTGTGGAGCTCTGATTTTCATAAAGTTTTAGGTCCATTTGCTAGCCAGACTGAAAATGACTGGACACTTAATTGCAGTTATAGATTATAGACTTAACAGTGACAAAAAAAAAAAAAAAAAAAAAAAAAAAAAAAAAAAAAAAAAAAAGAAAAGAAAAGAAAAAGAATATCCACAAATAACTTTTCCTAGTTTAAGGGCAGTTTTGGAAATGTGACCTTGAATCTTCAAAGGTAACAACTTTAGCTTGATTTTTTTTAAAGTGGAAGAAGCTGAAGAGTTTCTTGGTTTTGTATCTTTTTTCCCTCAGCCTGATAGTTTAACACTGACTCTGTTAAACTGTTCTCAGGATGGAAGTGGGTGGTAAATGACAATGCAGTGTAGCTCCTTTGCTCTGTAAGCGTCCAAGTTGTGACTGATCTATGAGCACATCTACTGGAAGACTGTGAGGCTGTCAGCGTGACACTTTTAGTGACCCAGCAATTTCGATCTCTTATTTAGTTTGAAAGTGCACTATGTTTTCTTATTTTTTGAATCTTACAGTGGATTTTCTGTCATTTTATATTTCTAGACAAAAGAACACAGTTGTATTTTCTTCAAGGCTTAGTCTTAGTTTACTATTGCCATTTTTTAACATGGACATAAGGTTTTCTTCTGGAATTATGAATTATGAATACCAGTTTTGTTCTCTGTACTAAGATATGTTTAAGGTTCACTTTTTGTCCCAATTCAATGTCAGCAAACAGCAGGCTCTCCAGACAGCTAACACACCATCTTTAACCACAGTGCAGTCTGTATTCATCCAATTTTCCCAGCGTCATGCTCCAGGAACTTCAGGTTCTGTGAAGTTGTATTCGTCAATACATAATTGATACTCCAATAAAAAGCAATATAAAGAAACTGTTTCAAAATATTTGACATCGTCTCATTTTTAGCTATGCTTTTTATATTTTGAGGATGCGTTGTTGTTTGCATTTTCTCAGCTGTGCAAATGCAGATAGCAGCTATCTAGTATCTGAAACCTGTTTTGTGTCTGTGCATTTTCATAAGTGTTAACTCATTCTAGGAAAATGCAATTTTTGTCCTGTAAATTACCCAGCTTTGAAGTAATGAAAGTAATGATATAAATTGAAAACGCTCAGTTTTAATGGGGCTTTTGCATTTACTTTCACCACATTCTGGTTATTTCAGTCCAGCCGTTGCAGTCTTTCTCAGCATACTTCTGAAATGTGGCTGAAGGTGAAGTTAGGAAATACCACTTTCTAGGTACCAAATTTTATACACACGATGAAATGTGGCAAATTGTAATTCTGAAGGGGAAACAGCGTTTGTTGAGCATAATATGTAACAGTTCTGTGTATAGGCAATTGCTTCAGAAAAAAAATGCAACCTGAATTGCTGCTATTTGAAGCCAGATGTAGGTTTTTAGGATTAAGCTCTAAAATACTCCATGTTCATCAAAAATAGCATTGAGTCTTCATTTTATGTTACTTAGTGGGTCTCAAACAGCTTACTAGAAGGGAAACTAGAGAGCTCTGGTGAGCACTGCTCAAATGCAAGTACTTAAGTGGACAGGATTATAGGTATGAAATAGGTTAGTAAAAATGTGTTTACAAATGAGAGAACATTGAGGCTGAAAGGAGGTTTGGTCTTTTCTTGAAGATCACATATGCCGTTGAAATACAGGAATATAATCTCCAAGTCAACCTTTTTGTTACTTTAACAAGAAATAAAACTACTTATATATTTAAATAGTTCATTTCTATATTAGAACTAAACAGAATGACTTTCTTGTGTAAGTTTTCAGTGTGTTGTTTGTCCTGGAATTACAATTGTATTATTACTAAATTATTCAAAGGCCTTATGAGGAGCGGCTGAAGGAGCTGGGATTGTTCAGTCTGGAGAAGAGGAGGTTCAGGGGAGACCTTATTTCTCCCTATAACTACCTGAAGGGAGGTTGTAGTGAGCTGGGGATCAGCCTCTTCTCTCATGTAACTGGTGATAGGACCAGAGGGAATGGCTTCAAGCTGAGCCAGGGGAGATTCAGGCTGGACTAATAAAAACAGTACAAACAGGACATTTAACAGTGCTCATGTCTTACGTACAGTGTGTGAAAACAGAGGGCTTCCCAAGCAAAACAGATTTGACAAGGACAAATGTGACTACTTAGATAAAGTAGTTGTCATCAACAATAGTTACCTCTCTTGTATGTGGAGACTAATTCCTGGAGTCGCTTGTGTGTTTTCTCCTTTTAATACAGCAAGGTGTTCTGTTACTTCAGTCCTTCTGTGATACAGTGCTTTTCTCTTTGTTGATAATTATAACACCTTTGTCTTCTATCTAGTGGTGATCCTGCCATACTCTTACTGCAGTTTTCAGAGATTTTGCATGTTTTTATAGTGGAGAAATTGGTATCAAGGGAAGCAAAGAAAGAAAGCGCAAGGAAATTCTTAGAGATTCTAATTCTTAAATCTTTATTCTTACTTTTTTATTATTTGCAATGGCTTTCATTCAGAATCTATTTCAGAAAGATAATATTGCAAAGTAAATTTGAAAAAAGCTTTATTTTTCATATGAAAGGCTGTAGGGGGTATGCAAATAGAGTGAAGTTCTTTAAGGTATATGAAAATATGCTTTTAAAATATTTTTCTCCTTTTGAACATATTATCCTGTCAGCACTTTCCTTTTGTAAAGGACTTCCTATCTTATAGCATTTCTTCAATTCTGGTACATTAAGAATAGGTGAGCAAGGAAATTACAATATTTGTTTTGAGCTTCACGTCTGGACTAAACAAAGTGCAAAACAATAACAAAAAGATTTATTATAAAAAAAAAGTGTCATTTATACATAGGACAGTTTTTATAAATGAAAGATCACAGTGAAATATCACAGTCTTTTTAAATAGTCATCCCTTTCCAGCACACTGGAAGAGAATCAGAAAATGTTTTGTGCCTTTATTTATGAACTACATAGTTGCAGTTTAAAATACCTAATTTATAGCTGTAAATTATACTTGAATTATTGAATGCGTGAGCGATTCACTGTTTGCCTTGTAAAAGTAACTAAGTGAAATGACTATGAAAAATCAATATTGCCATTGTTTAATAAAAAATACCTGAATAAAGGACAAAAATGAACTGGCTATACTCTTTTCTTTGATTAGCAAGTCTCTTAAATAATATCATTTAAATGAGATAGTGATGAAGGTGATGCATGAGTGTCTGCATTGGAATATTCCAAATTTGGCAGAACATACTTGGCATTTGAAAATTACACTTGTAGAAAATGTACTTTTTGTACCCTGACAATGGATCAAAGAATCTTGCGCTGAGAATTGCAGGGAAGCTCAGTGTAAAATAATACAGGAATACAATTTACATATACATAGGTTTATTTATTTTTTTCTTTCACAGATGCGATGAATGCAGACTCTGTTACCATTTTGGCTGTTTAGACCCTCCCTTGAAAAAGTCTCCAAAGCAAACTGGCTATGGATGGATCTGTCAGGAATGTGACTCTACATCTTCCAAAGTAAGTTAATTCATCCTGTGAAGTAGTTGGAGTTTTTGCCATCTCACAGCTGTTGTTGAAATGCTAAATTGATCTGCTCTGAAAAGCAGGAGGTCATAAAATAATGATTTCAGATTCTCTGTAAAACAGGTTAAAAAAAAAAAACACCAGAATGTATGCAAAATGAAAATAATCAATAAAGAGAATTTTATTATCTGAGTTACATGTTTTCTCTTCATATTGTAGTGTTCTCTCTGAGAAAGGAGTGAATAAGTGTACTCTATCAGGATTGGTAATATTACATAGAAGTGAAAGTATTTTTGGATTAGTATAGAACAAAAACCTCTAAGAACAGAGATAGCAAATATATCTTTGTCAAAATTAATGAAGATGGTTTGATTGAATAAATCTGTTGATTTTAGTGGGTTTTGTTTGTTTGTTTTTTCAACTACTGCTAAAAATTATTATCCTTAATAGTTTATATTGATGAGTATGCCTTGATCAAATATATGACATTTTAAAGTCAGAATTAAAATTCTGACATAGATTTAATCTCTTAATACTATAAACAGAAATAGTACTCTTCTGCAGTACTAACTTACTAAAAAATAAAAATATGCTTCTTTGCTTTTCTGTACAGAAGTTTCCATAGTACTGCATTCTCTTCTGTCATCACCTTAACCTGGCAAGAAATACTATGTACTTAATTTTTAAAATTGGATTTACAAATTCATCTGGTACATCAATGTTTTGTTGGTTTTTTAAAATTTATTTGTTTGTTAAAAACAAAAAAAAATTAAATCTGGAATTTTAGTCTGTTCTGCTACTTTCTTGGTGTTTGCAGAATATTTTCAACTAAAAAGGACACAGCTATTGCAGAGGTGCTGTCATAAGTTATGTGTTGGCATATGTGGATGTTCCTCTAGAGAAGCAGATACCAAATGTACAAGTATAGTTTTTGACTTGCGACTAGGAAGAAATGGTTCTCAGTTTCATGCGGTGGGGGAGTTAATTTAATTCTTCTGTAAGGAAATATGAAGACAACCATCGGAAATTAGCTGTCCACTACATTTTGGACATCAAGAACTCTCTCTTGAGTACCACTTACATGGAATGGACATTCCAAGAGTGAATTGAAATTATTGAAGTTTTGTTACCTGCTTAAACCAAAACAGGTCCTTGATAATGTTGGAATTTCCATCTCCAATTTGCTTGACTTCTTCTGAGTAAACAAACTCAAAAAAGCAGAGTTTGTAACTTCTTCAGGAGATTAGAACGTTATGTACCAGATAAAAAATATAAAATACTTTATTGTGTAAACTAAGTATGATTGACATCATTTTAGTACAGGGCATGTGTTAATTTTAAATTGAAAACCACAGTGTTTTGAAGAGTAAATGAAATTTACTGTTAGATTGACAATGTATTTTGTATTATGTTAGTGATACAAATTAAAAAAAAAAAATGCTTGTTATTGTATCTGATTTTCTTTTTCATTCCGTAGAGACTTCTAAATGAGTATATTTAAATAATAAAGTCATTTGCACTTTCAAATTTAAGCAATTTGAATGGTATTTGAATGAAAATGGATATGAAAGGTGCTGAAAAATTGTCTTATGAGGACTCCTTGTGGTTTTGGGTAGCCACTTTCAGATCGCTTTTTCACAAAGCTGTACAGAGAAATGCTCTGAAAAAGCTGCATTTTTCTCTCTGTTTTAAAGTATTTTTCTAGAACATTTGCATGATTTTACTCTATAATGTGTTACAAATTCAAACACTTTAATACTGAGTTACACTCATTGCAAACCTTCCTTAAAGTGAATGTGGTTTTAGGGGGTTAGGGCTTTCTTTATGTACTTCATCATTTTTGCATTCAGTTTTCTATGTGGTTTTACTATTGTGTTATCTATCACAATTTGATGAGACTTTTTCTGCCCCTTGCTAGAGGGAGTAGTCCCTCAGCAGTGTATTTAGAGATAGGGAGAGGAAAGCTGTAGAGAAGTTTGCTTGTTTGCTGCACTCTGCCTGACCTATGGATGAATTGCAAGCTTGAGCTCCCAGCAATTTCAATCTCTCAGTCACTTACTAAATCCAATTTTTGGTATGTCACAGTGAAGTTTCTAGTACGGATTATAGCAGCAAAATAGGATTGAATTTCCAGCTTTTGCCAAGGAGACTATTGTTTAGTTTTCATTCCTTCAATGTTTTTCATCTGCTATGATCCAATTTAAATCACTGTTAGCGTATGTGTTTTAAAATTCTGCAGTGATGTCTTCTGCAGCAGTCTTGGCCCTTGGAAACAATTGGTAAGTAAATTACACTAATTCAGTGAAGAGAGGTAATAGTGCATTGCGTGTAATCTTTAATGGGTTTTTACTTACAATTACAAGTTTCAATTTTGTATGTTCAGGAAGATCTACATAGCACTGGCAGCAAATAATGTATTTTTATTTTCTGCTTTTACTAAACACTTGTTGATGACCATGGTGTAAGAGATGTAATATAGTGATAATAAATGTACACTTTACATTGCCATCTATTACAAGTGTGGACGTTCTCCTTCTGTTTTGCTCATACAAGTCACAGGACTCTCAACAGTTGTGTCAGTTCTTCCACCAGCATGGAGGAAGAATTCCCATATTAACCTGCCTGTCAAACAACAGATGGGCAGAGACTGCTGTAGGGCATGAGGGCAAAAGCTTCTCTGCTGGTAATACTCACAGTCACTTGATGGAATGGGTGAAGCTCACTACTAAAGTCTGACAAGGTCTCTCATCTCAAAAGCCTTGTAGATTTTGTTACATCACATGAAAGCTGAAGTGAACCCACAGGCTCTCCATTTCTGTAACACCATCCATCTGCCTGATGTGTTACGGTGTGTTTTAAGTATTGTCAAAAAGCACTGTAAATCCTAAATGTCATGATAGTTTCAAATAGTGATATTCAGAAGGAAAATAGAACATTTAAAAGTATAATTTCATAAAAACCAACAACACAAAATTTTTATTATTGTGATGTATCATTCAGTAGGAATTAATGTGGCCTGCCCATGTGTTTATGATGTGATTTAAGGGCTCATTATGGGGTCTCATTATTACTAAATGTGGGAATTCAGGAATTCTTTCTATTGCCTTCCTTTTAAAAAGTCCTGTTTGAAGCATCTCTTTCAATTTCAAAATTTTGCAAAGTACCAAGGCAGCAAAAACTTGAAAAATATATCATGCTAGTTGCAATGACCATAGTCATTGACTTCTTTGGTTTCTATTTGCTCATTTTTGTGTACAACCATTTTTGCAAAATGCTGCAGAGTGTACATGTCAGGTCATTATTTGAGTGCTGCAAGATCAGCTGCCTTGCCTGTAGACTTCTGTTTAGTTTGCTTTTATTTCATCTTCTTACAGCATTGCGTTTTTTCAGTGGAAATAAATTGTCAGAGTATGTGCATAGAATTTTCATCTAAACCCCTCAGTAAATATTTTCTGGAACTACAAATCCATGACACACCAGCCCTGGCAAGTAGTATTTTTTGCATACCTTTCATGTTGGAAAGCAATTGTGGACACTTTTACTTAGTAGCAAAGCAGCAGCACTTCTTTTGGTGTATCTGGCTTTCAAATCTTAATTTGGTCAGAAAAAAAATGAAGTTAATTCTTTTTGTCTATAGAATTTTATGCTAATAAAATGATGTGAATTTTTAAGACGTTCTCTGAGATGAGAAGTTTCTCATCTGTTCTTGGTTTGTCAATTTCATGATGTCTTTAATTTTTAATTTTTAAAATTATTCCTGTATCTCAGAGTGTGTTTTCTCACCCTTGCAAGCGGCTGTGTTCATAAATAAAAGTAACAGCAGAACTAAGAAATCCCAATGTCAAGCTCTCAGAATGTAGGAAATGCCCAAATTAAGATTGTGTGCAGCACTGTATTCTTCTTGTGGCTGTGCATGAATTTATAGCCTTTAGTAAGTTCACACTGTATTTTTTTTGCCATAGAACCTATGCCTTCTTCCATTTAGCTTTTGGAGGTCACTGAAAGAGAATGATCTGGGTTGAGTGTTAAAAGAAAATACTGTCTTCAGGTTCTGCAAGACACAAAACCAAAATGATCATTTCAGGGACAGAAAAGAAAAAGATTGCCCTTATGTCTGAAGTAGGCTGTGACTGGAAGATTGAATTTTACCCTTCTCTCACCCCAAGCTCCTGTGCATGCTAGAAAAAATAAGCAGATGTTAGTATTAGGTGTTTAGTATTTTTTTTTCCTCATTTGCTGCTGCCTAGCTTGGATCCTTTGGCCTAACATGCAAAAATGCTGAATTCTGAGAGCTGCAGCTGGTGATGGTGTAAGATGGTGTAAGCTGAAAGTCATCACAATGATGTGGTCTGGATTATTGCAACTGAGTAACAAATTTATGGGATTTTTAATTCTTTAATCCCCATGTCTTAACTTCCTGTTTGCCATTACTGTGCTGTTATTTGAGACATTTTCCTTAAATTTCAATGGATTGTTCTGTCGAGCTGCCTTTTCCTATCCATGGTCTGTAGGGGCTAAACAATTTAGATTAGTGAAGGGATTAGTCTGAGTGGAATTCTGTTTGCTTGAGTACTCGTAGAAGATGATGGAATTTACATTGCATTGACATACTTTATCCAGGCATTTGCTGACATTCAGAACTGTGTATTTCTAAGAAAGTGGAAATGTTTTTAAAGTGGAAAAGTTTTTAGAGGTTTATATATACGAGAAAACGCTATTTTAACATGAAATGTGAGTTTGACACAAACTGGCAATTTTATATTTGTGCTTAATCATGTCTTATATATGTTTTATAGTACTTTTGTAGTTATCGCTCAGTGCAAAAGTAGTTATATTTAAAACACATCTTTCCAAAAATACACATAAGATTTTGTATTATTAAAGGTCCTTTGTATTATCTGAAACTTTTTTTTAATTACGTATTCTGACAAAGGGTGACTGCAGTGCTTGTAAAGAAGCTGTGACCCTAATTTAGTCAGTGCAGTTTCTTTTGAGAGCACAACATACAAGTAAATGTTCTGCCACCAAGGCAAACATCACTGTACCTGGAAAATGACAAATGAATACTGCTAACAAATCTGCTAGCTGATGGCAGGCGAACATAAATTGAATTTTTTTTCCATTTTGCTTTATGCAACACTTTTCAGGCTTAACTCAGTGTTACAGAATAGTGAATTGCATACTGTAAGTGACCAGATTTGAAAAGATGGAGTCTATTTTCACTTCTAATGGGTGTGGATATTATGACTTATTTTCTTATGTGTTGATCAAGAACAGTACAGTCAAACATTTTTGTATTTGTTCATATATTTTAAAACTTTTTGAGTAGAGTTGAGTGATGCTACATAAATCACCTTGGGACGTGTTCTGTCATACAATAAAAGCTTTACAAACATGTATATTTGTATGTATATATATATATATATATATATGCTAGAAAATACACATTTAAGTCCTTGTCTTCATAAATTTGTGAGCAGCCATGAGGCCTTGGACACCATTGAATGACTGTCTTGAAATTAAACAAGAAGAAATTATCCAAATGTTAAGACTGTGTGAAACTTTAGCAGTGCTTTTTTATGAACTTTGGTAATGCCAAACCTTGTCACAGGAAGAGCTTTGTCTGTCCAGACAGTTCAAGAAAAAAAAAAGTCGCATTACAGCGTAGATTAGTTCTTATCAGTTGGCCAGTTAATACTGCCAAGTGTGTTCTAGCATTTGCTCCCCATATTTAGAAAAATTAATTGGTGCAGCCTCTGTTATTTTCTGGCAAATAAATGTGAAAGATCTATCTATTGAATAATTTATACCATAAAATGTTCCAAAAATAATCAACCTTGAAATTAACTTAAGATGAAGCTTGATTTATATAGAGAGGATAAGTTCAGGATAGAGTTAGTTGGTATTAAATCCACAAATGAATCCAAATAATCAGATACACTCAGTTGCCAGTACATCCCATAGTGTATGTAGGAAGCTTAGGTTTTAGTGAGAGAAAAAAAAAAAAAAAAAAAGGTTAAGCACTGTAAAATATGTTTGGAATGGATATTTATTTGAATTCTTCTCCACAACAAAATCAATTCTACCAGTTCCAAACACCCCGTGTCACTGGATGCCAAATCCTCGTCTTGGACTTTCAGTGTTTGTGCTTCCTACTAAGTTCAGTTTAACTGTAACCAAAAGGTGTTGTGAAAAAATGGGCAATATGCTACAGCGTTCTCTTTTTCATAACCTTCTCTGAACAAATCTTTTTGACTGGTTACTCAGAGGGCAGTCGATCTAGTGCCAGCCAGAAATTAATGATATACAGTTGTTCCAAATTCAAAAAAGATTTCTAGTTTTGAAGTATGACATTGGGATAGATCAATGAGTAATAACAAAAGTGATTAAAAGATAGGGCACCAATTAGGAATTCAAAGTGAAATATATAATTTATTCTCATATTAAATTTTGAAAAACAAACAGAAAAAACAGTTATAATAAGCTTGGTAAGAGCCTGTTGTCCCAGATTTACACTGCGCAGCAGTTTTAAATAGGTATTTTTGTTATTAAAACTCCACTTTAATAATATTTGGTCCAAAAATTGTTCCATTTCCAAGATTCATTTTCTTAGCTAGGAGACAGAAGTCCCGTGCTGCTTCACTTCATTCATATTCTTTCATAACCCAACAATTCAGAATGTTTTCAAAACTGAAATTTTGCACACCGTTACAACTTCATTTTCTTAGTGGGGGAACAGTAGTATAATACAATGCATTCTATTATATTGAATGTTTTATAACAAAAGCAGAAAAAAACATGATGTTTCAAATAGTTCTGAAAAGAGTGATGTTTCTTGATGCGCTATACTACCTTTAAATTGAAGCGATTTAATTTTATAAGGCTTTGTGTCTTATAAGTCAAAGTATTACTTTTTTGCTTTATTGTAACTAAGAAAATAATTAATGAAGTGTAAATAAACAAGGGTGGCTGTGTTTAGAATCAAGCTTGGTCATTAATTTTCACTGTTGATAGAATACCCTTGTTAAATATTGTGACCATGCCTGGGGCCCCTAGTACAGGAATAATGCAGAGCTTTTGGAGCAGGTCCAGAGGAGGGCCACGAAAATGATTGGAGGGCTGGAGCAGCTCTCCTGTGAAGACAGGCTGAGGGAGCTGGGCTTGTTAAGCCTGGAGAAAAGAAGGCTCCAGGGAGACCTCATTGCAGCCTTCCAGTACTTAAAGGGAGCTTATAAACAGGAGGGGGAATGATTTCTTGCGTGATCTAACAGTGATAGAACAAGGGGGAATGGTTTTAAAGTAAAAGAGGTGAGATTTAGGTTGCATGTTCAAGGAGAAAGTTTTTTACTCAGAGGGTGGAGGCTTCTAAAAGAAGCTGTGGGTGCCCCATCCCTGGAGGTGTTCAAGGCCAGGTTGGATGGGGCCCTGGGTAGCCTGAGCTGGTGGGTGGCAGTCCTACCCA